GGGGGAGGGGAGAGGGAGGGGAAGGGGAGCAGCAGCAGCGGTGGGGGGGAGGGAAGGAGGGGAAGGCAAAAGGAAGCAGCAGCAGCAGCAGCAGCAGCAGCAGCAGCAGCAGCAGCAGCAGAAGAGTCTTTTTTGAGTTAATTTCTTCTCTTTGGATTCGTTTCTTTTCGAATTAGTTTCTTCTTTTTGAATTAATTTCTTCTTTTTGAATTAAGTTCTTCTTTTTGGACTTTAATTTCTTCTTTTTTGGATTAATTTAATTAATTTCTTTTTAAATTAATTTATTTTTCTTTTTCATTTCCACTTTACCTGCAACTATTTTGTGCACGGAAATATAAGGCGCATGCAGCACCACCCCCCCCACCAAGATGCCTTCCTTCAAAACCTCAGCAGCAAGGTGAGCAGCAGGGCCTGCAGCAGCAGCAGCAGCAGCAGCAGCGGCAGCAGCGGCAGCAGCGGCAGCAGCAGCAGCAGCAGCAGCAGCAGCGGCAGCAGCGGCAGCAGCGGCAGCAGCAGGGAAGCAATCAGTTCTTTTGCTTCTTTGTCGGGAGAGCATGCGAAATAATCAACTAGCGAAATTCGCGGCGAAACAGCAGCAGCAGCAAAGGCAGCAGCAGCAGCAAAGGCAGCAGCAGCAGCAAAGGCAGCAGCAGCAGCAGCTAAAGCACTAAAAGCCTGCAACAGCAACAAAAGCAGCAACAGCGGAAGCCGCCACAGCCACAGCAGCAGCCACAGCAGCCACAGCAGCCACAGCAGCAGCCACAGCAGCAGCAGCAGCAGCAGCAGCAGCCACAGCAGCAGCAGCAGCAGCAGCAGCAGCAGCAGCACCTGTGCCAATGGATCTGCCGAAGCAAATGATGTTGGCGGGAGAAACTCCCAAAGAAAGCAGCAGATTAAAAGCAGCTCGGCCCCACAAGTTGATGGTGTCGCTGACGCTGGCCCGGACTCTCCTGCTGCTGCTTGCTGCTGCTGCTGCTGCTGCTGCTGCTGCTGCTGCTGGCGTTGCTGCTGCAGCAAGTCCGTACCCAGGGTACTCTATGGCCAAACAGTGACACTCCAAAAACGCCCCCAAAATCTCCAGCTCTTCTCTTATGTGCCCCAAGTCGCAGGAATTGCCTGCAACTCACACACAGCTAGCTAGCTAGCTAGCTAGCTGGCTGGCTAGCTGGCTGGCTAGCTAGCTGGCTAGCTAGCTAGCTAGCTAGCTAGCTGGCTAGCTGGCTAGCTGGCTAGCTAGCTGAGTAGCTGGCTAGCTATCTGGCCAGCTATCTGGCTAGCTAGCTGGCTAGCTATCTGCCTAGCTAGCTGGCTAGCTATCTGCCTAGCTAGCTGGCTAGCTATCTGCCTAGCTAGCTGGCTAGCTATCTGACTAGCTAGCTGGCTAGCTATCTGCCTAGCTAGCTGGCTAGCTATCTGACTAGCTAGCTGGCTAGCTAACTGGCTAGCTAGCTAGCTAGCTGGCTAGCTATCTGCCTAGCTAGCTGGCTAGCTAGCTAGCTGGCTAGCTAGCTAGCTGGCTAGCTAACTGGCTAGCTAGCTAGCTAACTGGCTAGCTAGCTAGCTAGCTGGCTAGCTGTGGGGCCTCACCGTGCCAGTAGAGCAGCACATATTTGGCCTTGCCGCTGGGGGCGGGAATGAAGCAGGCGGGAAAGCTGCTGCTGCTGCTGTGGCGGTTTCGCTGCACCTCGAGGTCAATGGGAGCAGCAGCAGCAGCAGCAGCAGCAGCAGCAGCAGCAGGAGCAGCAGCAGCAGCAGCAGGAGAGGACCGCGCCGGGGACGGGTTGCTGCTGGGAGCAGCAAGAGCCTCCGAAATCCACAGAAGACCCGGCAGCGACTCGTCGTACTGCAAACCACAAACCCTTAACCCTAAACCCTAAACCCTAAACCCTAAACCCTAAACCCTAAACCCTGGAGAGAATGACTCCTCCTAAACCCTCAGCCGCTGCATCTAAAGCTGCGACTCAAGGCGGCTGCTTCTTCAGGGATATCTTCTCACAAACTAGAGTTTGGGGAGTGAGGTTAGGGTTTAGGGTTTAGGGTTTAGGGTTTAGGGTTTAGGGTTTAGGGTTTACAGAGCATTCAGGGGAGGGGAAGAGAATGGTCTCCCCGAGGGTGCTGCCTCCTGCTCCCATTTTCTCGGGGTACGTACACCTCAAATATGCTGCTGCTGCTGTTGCTGCTGCTGCTGCTGCTGCTGCTGCTGCTGCTACTGAAGCCGGCGCTGTTGCTGCAGCAGCTGCTATCACTGCTGCTGCTGCTGCTGTTGCTGCTGCTGGTGAAAGGGTCGCCGTGATTTAGGACAAAGACGAGAGGCTTCAAAATATGCACACGGGACTTGTGCTGCTGCTATTGCTGCTGCTGCTGCTGTTGCTGCTGCTGCTGCTGCTGCTGCTGCTGCTGCAGCGAACGCCTGGGTTTGTTTAGCAGCTACTTCCGCTGCTCACTAATGGACTTGATACATCCAGAATCAGCTGCTGCTGCTGCTGCTGTTGCTGCTGCTGTCGCTGCTGTCGTGTGTAGGGGGTCAAAGTTCACTGAAGATGGTCGCTCAGTTGCTGCAGCAGCAGCAGCAGCAGCAGTTGCTGCTGCTGCTGCTGCACTTGCTGTTGCTGCGGCCGGTGTAACCGTTGGCGTTGCTGCAATCTTTTTTACGCGTCGCTGTTCTGTCGCTGCTGCTGCTGCTGCTGCTGCTGCTGCTGCAGTTGCTGCTGCTGGCTGCAGGCGCTCCCTCGCGCCCGTGGTGCTGCAGCTTGCGTCTTCTGCAGCAGCAGCAGCAGCAGCATGAACTGAAGTGTATGTACACCTGAAAACCAAATAAAGCTCTAAATCCAACTGCTGTTTTCAGGTGTACGTACACCCCAGGGCCGGTGGACCGGTGCGGTCGCCGCGGTGTCTGTGTGCTGCGACGTGCACAGCCCTAAACCCTAAACCCTAAACCCTAAACCCTAAATACGCCACATGAATAATTATTAAACCAAATAAACAGCTTCTTCACAGCGGCGCAGCGGCTGCGGCGGCAGCAGCTGCAGCAGCAGTTGCTGCTGCCGCAGCAGCTGCGCCGCCGCCGCCGGCGCAGCAGCAGCTCAGCTGCTGCTGCAGCAGCAGCTGCTGCTGTTGCTGCTGTAGCAGCTGCTGCTGCCGTCTCTCCTACTACTGGTTTGTGTTTTGTAGCTGCAGCAACGAAGGAATACAAGCCCCAAACCCTAAACACGAAACCCTAAACCCTAAACCCTAAACCCTAAACCCTAAGTTCCCTGTCGCAGACCAGCAGCTAAGAAGAACCCTAAAGAAAAACTGCGCCAAATGGCTCGGTGGTTTCGCTCCCACATAAACTGCTGCAGCAGCAGCTGCTGCAGCTGCTGCAGTAGCAGCTGCAGCAGCAGAAGCTGCAGGCAGCAGGAGCAGCAACTCCAGCAGGGGCAACAGCTGCAGCAGCAGCAACTCCAGCAGCAGCAACAGCTGCAGCAGCAGAAGCTGCAACTGCAGAAGCTGCAGCAGCAGCAACAGTTGCAGCAGCAAAAGCTGCCTATTAAGCAAAAGCTGGAGCCGCAGCAGCAGCTACTGCTGCCAACGGCGCGCCGTCGGCGCCTCTCTACATTCTAGGGTTTAGGGTTTAGGGTTTAGGGTTTAGGGTTTAGGAAGTCTGCTGCTGCAGTCTTTTGCTGCAGGCTTTCTTCGAAGGTTTTTGCTGCTCGCATCTTGGGGTGTATGTACACCCCAAGCTTTGCTGGGTGCTTTTGTTCATCTTTTGTTTTTAAAATAATTAAAAATTAAATCTAAAACATTAAAAAGACAATAAACCCTTTTGTGTCTTCCTGGCTAGCCAAACCCTAAACCCTAAACCCTAAACCCTAAACCCTAAACCCTAAACTCCCTGGCAGGCGGCCTACACAGCGCACACTGAAGGGTTTAGGGTTTAGGGTTTGCAGCAAAGCTGTGCTGCCGATTTGTAGCTTCTCAGGGTTTGAGCGCTGAAATAAGCTTTGGGGTTTACGGAGGGTTTAGGGTTTAGCTAGGGTTTAGGGTTTAGCGAGGGTTTGGCGTCTAGGAAGGGTTTAGGGTTTAGCCAGGGTTTAGGGTTTAGCCAGAGTTTAGGCCTGAGGGTTCAAGGCCTAGCTAGGGTTTGGGGTTTAGCCAGCGCCTAGGGTTTAGCTAGGGCTTAGGGTCTAGCCAGGGCTAGGGTTTTACCTAGGGTTTAGGGTTTAGGGTTTAGGGTTTAGGGTTTGGGGCAAACAGGCGGCCCCACAGCCCCCCAACGTTTCTTTTGCGTTTTTGCAAAAGTGCGAAAAGAACCAAAGAGCCGCAGCCAGCTGTCTGTACACTCCAGTGGGAGTCCAGCGAGTTCACCGGGCCCCACAGTCAGCAGCAGCAGCAGCAGCAGCAGCAGCAGCAGCAGCAGCAGCAGCAGCAGCAGCAGCAGCAGCAGCAGCAGAACATGGATGCATGCGAGAGAGCGGGGTGGAGCTAGGGTTTAGGGTTAGGGTTTCGGGTTAGGGTTTCGAATTAGGGTTTGGGGTTAGGGCTTAGCTAGCTTATAGGATCAGGGTTTAGAATTGAGACCTAGGGTTTAGGGTTTAGGGTTTAGGGTTTAGGGTTTAGGGTTTGGGACCTGTTGGTCGAGCAGCACTGCAGCGCCGCGCGTTTTAATTTGCAGCCGCCGGGGAGTCAAAGAGAAGAGAACATCTGTAGCTTTAAGACCTGCAGCAAAACACTTTTTTTATTTTTAATTTGTTTTCTCTTTTCTCTTTTTCCCTGCTGCAGCAGCAGCAGCTGCTGCTGCTGCTGCTGCAGCAGCAGCAGCTGCTGCTGCTGCTGCTGTGCTGCTGCTGTTGTGCGGCTGCTGCTGTGCTGCCGCTGCGGCGATGTTGCTGCTGCTGCTGCTGTGTTGCTGCTGATGCTATGCTGTTGCTGCTATGCTGTTGCTGCTGCTGTGCTGCTGCTGCTGTTGCTATGCTGCTGCTGCTGCTGCTGCTGTGCTGCTGCTGCTGCTGCTATTTTTCTTACCTGTGGGGAGAGGAAGCCACAAGTGCAGCGACTGCAGGTCCTCAGCCCAGCACAACCTGTCCATACACCCGAAGCCCCAAAATTTCTAGGGTTTAGGGTTTAGGGTTTAGGGTTTAGGGTTTAGGTTTGCTGCTGCCCAGCTAGTTTCCATAGCAGCTTCGATCGCGTATAGACGCAGAGCGCAGCAGCAGCAGCAACAGACACAGCGCCAGCAGCAGACACAACAGCATAGCAGCAGCAGCAGCAACAACAACACAGTAGCAGCAGCAGACACAGCAGCAGCAGCAGACACAGCAGCGGCGGCGGAAATAGCAACAGCAGCAGCAGCAGCAGCAGCAGCACAGTGGCAGCAGCAGCAGGTAGGGTTTGCTTCCTACTCAAGCTTCGACGGCAGCGTCAACGTTTGCACCTCAAGAGCTCCCACGTTTAGCTCCTGCAGCAGCAGCAGCAGCAGCAGCAGCAGCAGCAGCAGCAGCAGCAGCAGCACGTTGTGTGTGTGGGGTGTCGGTAGAGCTGAGCTGCGCTGCAGCAGACACAGCAGCAGCCCTACCTTCCGCAGCTGCTGCGCTGCAGCAGCAACTTGTCGCAAGGCCTCTGCGTCTCCTTTAATGGGAGGCAGCAAAGCTTTTAAGGACAGCTGCTGCTGCTGCTGCTGCTGCTGCTGCTGCTGCTGGTCTCGTTCGAGTTCTTCCAGCTGCTGCTGCTGCAGGTGCGGCTGCAGGCCCTGCAGCTGCTGCAGCTGCTGCAGTTGCTGCAGCTGCTGCAGTTGCTGCTCGGGGTCCTCCGAGGCTGCTTCTTTCTGGAGCTGCTGCAGCTTCTCGAGCTCCTGCTGCAGCTGCTGCTGCTGCTGCTGCTGCTGCTGGCTGTTCAGCAGCTCGTGAGATACTCCCCGGATAGCAGCAGCAACTTGCTGCGCCCTTTGTGGGGCTGTCTTGGCCACCTCTAGGGGGCTGCGGCCCTCCAGCCCCGAAGCAGCAAATGCTGCTGCTTCTTTTGCTGCTGCTGCTTCGGACTCCCGCTGCGCACACAGCAGCAGCAGCAGCAGCAGCAGCAGCAGCAGCAGTTGTTGCACGATCTAGCAGCTGTTGTCTCAGAAGGTACCGTCTAGGCGGTTTCGCCTGCTGCTGCTGCTGCTGCAACTGCTGCGTCATTTGGCGCTGCAGTTGCTGCTGCTGCTGCTGCTGCTGCTGTTGTTGCTGCTGCTGCTGAAGTATTGCTGCTTACTTCAATTTTCTCTAGAGCTTCTGTACCTGCAGCCCCGAACTCTCCTTCTCGAATGCTCTGTAGGAGCAGCTGCAGCAGCAGCAGCAGCAGCAGCAGCACACACAGCAGCAGCAACTCAGGCAGCAGCTTCAGCCAGCTGCAGCAGCTGCAGCAGCTAAGCAGCTAAAAAGGGTACTAAACCCCGAAGGGGGCCCCTACATCGTACAGGTGGGGGCCCCCCTCTCCGGGCCCTTCTGCTGCTCGCTGCAGCAGCAAATTGAGGCGTTCACTGAAGGGAGAAGAAGGCATTGCTGCTTCAGCAGCAGCAGCAGCAGCAGCAGCTTCCTGCTGCTGCTGCTGCTGCTGCAGCAGCTCGTCCTGCTCCTGTAGCTGCTTCAACAGCTGCTGCTGCTCCTGCAGCTGCTCCTGCGAAAGGGGAGCAGCAAACGACTCTGCTGCTGCTGCTGCTGCTGCTGCTGCGCTGCTGCAGCCCTCAGGCATCAGCAGCTGGTTCAGCTTCTGCAGCTCCTTCTCCACAGACTGCAGCAAAGGAGATACATTCGACATCAACGGGGGGCCCCCTTGGGGCCCCTGGGGGCCCGCTGGGGGCCCCTGGGGGCCCCCTTGGGGCCCCTGGGGGCCCCCTTGGGGCCCCTGGGGGCCCCCTTGGGGCCCCTGGGGGCCCCGTGGGGGCCCCTGGGGGCCCCCCGAGGGTCTTAGGGGGCCCCCAGGGGGTCCTAGGGGGCCCCCAGGGGGTCCTAGGGGGCCCCCAGGGGGCCGCTCCCCTGCTGCAGCAGCAACTGGGGGGCCCCCCAGTGGGGCCCCCATGGGACCCTTGGGGGCCCCTAAAGGGTCTAGGGGGCCCCCAGTGCATGCAGAATGCAGCAGGGGGGGCCCCCTGGGTCTTAGAAAAGAGGGGCCCCTGGGGGGCCCCCCTGAAGCGGGGAGTCTCCAGGAAGCAGCAGCAGCAGCTAGGGGCCCCCCGGGGGCCTTTTGCATGCACAGGAGAGCCCCAGAGGCGCTGCTGCTGCTGCAGCTCAGCAGCAGCAGCAGAGAACGGGGAGCTTGGAATTTCATGGCAGCGGCAGAGGCCACAAGGATCTAAGCAGCTAGAAAGAAGCAGCTGCTGCTTCTGCTGCTCTTGCTGCTGCTGCTGCTGCTGCAGCAGCAGCAAGAGCAGACACACTGGTGAGGACTCGGCCAGAGATGGAAGCAGCAGCAGCAAATGAATTCCTCTCCAACTTAAATAACTAAAATAATAAAAATAAATTAAATAATTCCCAAAATCTCTCCAACTTAAATAACTAAAATAATAAAAATAAATTAAATAATTCCCAAAATTTATTTATTTAAAATACAACAAATCAACTTAAAAGCCAGCAGACGCAAATTTCATAACAGGGGGCCCCCTGGGGGCCCCCTGGGGGGCCCCCCCGGGGGCCCCCAGGGGGGCCCCCTGGGGGCCCCCTTGGGGGCCCCCCTGGTGACCCCGGGGGCCCCCAGGGGGCCCCCAAGGAGCTTCTTTGGGCCCCTAGGGGGCCCCCGGGCCCGGGGGGCTCCCGGAGGTCCCCCGGGGACAAACGACGGACATAAATTCTTCACACTGTTGGCCTGAAGTGTGGGGAAAGAAAAGGTAGCAGCAGCAGCAGCAGCAGCAGCAGCAGCAGCAGGTGGAGGGGAGCAGCAGCAAACCCCAATGACAAGCGGCGAGATAACTGAGGGATTAAAACTAGGGTTTAGGGTTTACAGAACTACGCCTAGGGTTTAGCTGCACAGGCATAGCTAGTTAGGGTTTAGGGTTTGGCCAGCTAGGGTTTAGGGTTTGCGAATCACTGCCGCTGTGTAAACCCTAAACCCTAAACCACTTTTATTGCTGCGCTTCCCAAACCCTAAACCCTAAACCACTTTTACTGGTGCGTTTCCCAAACCCTAAACCCTAAATGCTGTATGCTATATGCTATAAACCCTAACTAAACCCGAACCCCCCAAACTCTTTCTCCAAACCCCAAACCCTAAACCCTCGAGAAGGCCAGCCACAAACCCTAAACCCTAGACCCCTAAACCCTAGACCCCCAAACCCTAAACCCTCAAAAAAAGCCCCAAAAGGCTCTTCATTTGCTTCGGTTTATAAACCCCCAAGAGTTCACTCAGTCACAGGGTCTATAGGCAGCTAGCTAGCCAGAGCTAGCTATAGCTAGCCAGAGCTAGCTATAGCTAGCCACAGCTAGCTGTAGCTAGCCACAGCTAGCTACAGCTAGCCGTAGCTAGCCGCAGCCACGTACATCTAGAAACAGCCAGCCACAGTTTGCCACAGCCAGCCGTAGCTAGCCGCAGCTAGCCACAGCTAGCCGGAGCAGGCAATGTCTAGCAACTAGCCACAACTAGCCACAGCTAGCTGCAGCTAGCCACAGCTAATCCCCCACACAGCCCATGGCCAGCAGCTAGCCCCAGGAGCCCTGTGACTTGCCACAGGATCCCGCCCCCTGCTGCAGCAGCAGCTTGCTGCAGCAGCAGCTTGCTGCAGCAGCAGCTTGCTGCAGCAGCAGGAGCGGTTCTGGGGATATTTGGGGTGTCCGTACAGCTCAGTGTTTCGGCATTGTTGGATTTGTCAAAGTGAAGAAAGAAATGAAGAAAAAATATATATATATATATATAAGACTCTTTAGATATATATATATATGTATATATGTATATATGAATATATGTATGTATACATGTATAGTGTTTCGGGTGTACATACACCTCGCGTGCACTGGCAATAACATTGCATTTCCAAATGCGCCTTTTCCGTTTTTTGCGATTTTACCTTTTGAAAGCAACACAAATAAAATGAATTTGATTAAATTAATTATATTTTGGATTTAAATGCAATTAAAACCATTTGGAAACGTTGAGAAAAGACCTTTGCACAACTCTTTTCGAAGATGCATGCGCGAGTCCGCAGACAACGACAGGGGCATTTGCAAATTCCGATCTTGGACAAAGAAAGCAAGGCAGTCCAACACATCAGAGTGCATTAAATTAATTTCATAAAATGAATAAATACATTTAAATGCATTTGCGCGAAGAAGCCGCGTTCTTGGGGTGTACGTACACCCCAGCCCGCCGCGAGAGCCGCGACCTCGGGTGTACGTACACCCCAGCACGGCGCATGCAGATAAAGCCCTTCTTTGCAAAAGATGGAAACACAAAACAGAAATATATTTATTTGGCAATAAATACATTTCTAAACAATAAATGTATTTTTAAAAGCATTAAGTCCACATCGGAGCGGCCTGTGCTTTCGCGCAGGCGCTGCACCGGGTGTACGTACACCTCACAATTGCATGCATCCCCAAGACCCACAAATGCACTTCTCACATTTCTTTTCTTTTGCATTTCCATTTCTTTTGCATTTCTTTTCTTTTGCATTTCCACTTCTTTGCATTTCACATTTCCTGGGGCCAAAAACGGCCCCCGGGAGACGGCTCTTCCTGCTGCTGCTGCTGCTGCTGCTGGTTTTCTTTGAACAAACGCAGCAGCAGCAGCAGCCACTCCGTTGCAGCAGCATACCTGCGACACCCAGCCACCCCTCCAGCTAGCCAGCTAGCTACCCAGCTAGCTAGCTAGCTAGCCAGCTAGCTAGCTAGCTAGCTGGCCAGCCAGGCGGCGTCGTGCGGTGCTTCCGCCGCAGCAACAGCGGCCGTGGCTCCCGTGCCCCCCGCGCGCCGCCGCTGCTGCTGCAGCAGCAGCAGCAGCAGCAGCAGCAGCAGCAGCAGCATCACTCTCCGAGGCAGCTGACTCTGCCCGCGAAGAGCACCACGTCACTCTCTCCGCCGCCGCACATGCTGTGCTGCTGCTGGAAGTACTTGTGCTGCTGCAGTCCGTTGCTGCTCTTGAAGTCCAGCAGCCGAACTTCGAAGAGAAAAGGCCGGTCGACTTTGACTTGCTGCAGCTGCTGCTGCTGCTGCAGTCCCGCGCCGTCTGCAACAAGTGCTGCTGTTGCTGCTGCTGCTTCCACCCCGTTCTCATCAACAGCAATAAACGCTGCATGCAGCAGCCTCGAGAGCGACAGCAGCGGGGATCCGATCCCAGAAAAAGCCCCTCCTTCCCACAACTTCGGAGACACTCCGAGCTGCTGCAGCAGCTGCAGCACATCCATCTGGTTTGCTGCTGCTTCCAGCTTGAACTTGGGCACAAACAGCTGCACGCGCTGCTCCGAGGGGCCCCCGGGGGCCCCCCGGGGGGCCCCCCCGGGGGCCCCCAGGGGGGCCCCCAGGGGGGCCCCCTCCTTGCACTGGTCCACGAGCTGCTGCAGCAGCAAAGGATTGGACTCTGCCATTTTTTCGAAAGTTTTGAAGTCTTGAGGAATATAAAAGAAGACAAAAGCCCCGGGATAGTTCAAAGGCAACCCCACAACTGTCACGTCTTGCTGCTGCAGCAGCAGCAGCTGGTGCTGCAGCAGCGTTTGCTGCATGTAGTCCACTTGCGTTGTACGTACACCTGAAGGAGTCAAGCTCAAGAAAGGGCCTTTCTCTGTTTCCGAAAAAGAGTCCAACCATCCGGCTTTGAAATAAATGGCATTTAAAAGAATTAATTTCGTAATATCATCTTCTGAAAATAAATCTGTTATTCTGTTTTTTGTTGCTGCAGCAAGCCGCGCGTTCAGCATTGCTGCTGCTGCTGCTGCACTCTCTGCTTGGAGTGTATATACACCCGGATGCCCCAGCTGCTCAGCCACCCGCTGCTCGAAAGCAGCAAAGCCCGGCTGCTGCTGCAGCGAAGGATCAGCAAAGACTTCGGAAACAACTTGCAAAGTTGCTGCTCCCCCCTCATCCTCCTGCTGCTGCTGCTGCTGCTGCTGCTGCTGCTGCTGCTGCTGCTGCTGGTGCCACATGCGCTGCCGCCGCCGCCGCCGCCGCTCTTCGTCTTCCTGCAGCTGGTAGCTGTGGGAGACGGACTGCAGCCGCATCAGCCCCGAGAGCTGCGGGCTTCTCCTGCTGCTGCTGCTGCTGCTGCTGCTGCTGCTGCTGCTGTCGGCGCCCAGAGTGTGGTAAGCAGCAGCAGACAGCGACAGCAGCGGCTGCAGCGTTTGCTGCACGTCGGGTGTCACTGCTTCTTCAAGAAGAGCCAAAACAGCAAAGATAGAGTGGGGAGAAAAGACAAAGTTTGGTCTAAGATTTGTTGGAAATGCTGCTGCTGCTGCTGCCAGCATGCTGCCGCAAGGCGCTGCAGCAACAGTGCCTGGCAGCGTTGCTGCTGCAGCGCCGGCTCCCTCGCCTGCTGCTGCTGCTGCTGCTGCAGCGGGAACTGCCACGGGCATGGGGGGCGGCTCGTCAGAGGCCCCCGCCAGCTGCAGCAGCTGCAGCAGCTGCAGCAGCAGCAGCAGCAGCGGCAGCTGCGCGCCCAGCAACAGGCAGCACGCCCAGCGCCCCATCGTGCGTCCGCGCAGCGCTGAAAGCCTAAAAGACAACAAAAAAACGAAATTAAAAGATTAATTTGCTGCTTTTATTTCGGAAATTTAAAGTGCTGCGCAGCAGCAGCTGCCCTCGCGCGCAAACGGCGAGAAGAGAGCAGCAGCAGCAGCACCACCACCACCCCCACCGCGCCACTGCAGCAGCAGCGCAGCAGCAGCAGCAACCCTCCGCCCGCTCTTCTTTCTAATTTTCCCCAAAAAACCAATTAATGTTCTTCCATTTTTAATTCTTTTTTTCTTTTTAACTCTTTTTTGCGGCTACCAGCTTTAAAACTGCTGCTGCTGCTGCCACCAGCGCCGCCGCGAGCGGCGTGGGGGGTGCGCCTTGCGCAGCTGCAGCGGCGACGCCTGCTGCTGCTGCTGCTGCTGCTGCTGCTGCTGCAGCAGCAAGCAGCTCTATGTACTCGCGACAGCCGAGTTGCTGCAGCGCTACTCTTCAAGACAAGCACCAACAGCGCGGTTGAGGGCCTGGGGGGCCGCCAGCGGGCTAAACAGCACTAGCAGCAGCAGCAGCAGCAGCAGCAGCAGCAGCAGCAGCTGTTACAGCTAGCGTGGATCCCTTGAAAGGCTATTTTTAGCTGTGGTAATAGATTTAAATTTAGATCAAGTTCTTCTTCTTATTTAGATGGACTTTCCTTTGCTGCTATGCTTCCTAGAGAACGAGGTCACTGCTGCTGCTGCTGCTGCTGCTGCTGCTGCTGCTGCTGCTGCTGGACCACCTGAGCGCTGGCTGCTGCTGAGACACTTCAGTGAGCGGCCCCAGCAGCAGCAAAACGCTGCAGCAGCAGCAGGAAGCAGCCTCTAAGTCTATTCCCCTGCAGCAGCAAGTGTGTATATCTAGCTGCTGGGGCCTCAGCAGCTAGATATATATATACGGCTCCAGCGCCCCTAGGGTTTAGGGTTTAGGGTTTAGGGTTTAGGGTTTGTTGCACCTTTTGCTTACTTTAGTGCTCATATTTTGCTTTTTTATGCGTTTTTTGGGGACTCCGCCGTGTCCTGCGGGAGAAGGGTTTAGGGTTTAGGGTTTGAGGCGCTGCAGCAGCTGCTGCAACCACCAAAGTAGGGTTTAGGGTTTAGGGTTTGGCAGCCAAATGTAGGGTTTTGAAACCCCCTGCTGCGGGGGACCACCCCACACCTGGGGGCCCCCCAGCTGTGGGGTTTTAAACCCGAAAACCCCACACGATCCCACACGATCCCACACGATCCCAGAAGACCCCACACGATCCCACACGATCCCACACGATCCCAGAAGACCCCACACGATCCCAGACGATCCCAGAGGGTCCCAGGCGATCCCAGGGCTGCAGTTTGAGGGTTTAGGGGCTGCGCAGAAACCCTTGGCCCTAAACCCTAAACCCTCGAGCCCAAACCCTAAACCCTAAAGTGGAAACCCTAAACCCTCAAGCAGCAAAAACCCTAAACCCCAGTTGGGAACCCTAGGCGTGCAGCCACAAACCCTAAACCCTCGTCTGTAAACCCTAAACCCTTCAACCCCAAACCGCTCTCTAGGGACGCTTCACACTGTAAACCCTAAACCCTAGAATGCAAACCCTAAACCCTAAAGTGTAAACCCTAAACCCTAAGTGCAAACTCTAAACCCCGCAAGAGAGAAACGCGAAAGCTAGGAGGCCCCAGGCCCTCTCGCTGCTTCGCATCTGCTGTCGCACTCGGCCGCCTGCTGCTGCTGCTGCTGCTGCTGCGGTTGCTGCTGCTGCTGTTGCTGCTGCTGCTGCGGTCTCTTCTGAGCTTTCCTTATCTAAGCAGCAGCTGGAGCCACAAGCTAGCTAGCTAGCTAGCTGAAGAGTCCACTATGGCTGCAATCTATTGAGTAACTTGCTGCTGCTATGCTGCACCAGCTGCTGCTGCTGCTGCTGCTGCTGCTGCTGCAGCGCGGAGTCTCTTGCTGCTGCGTTTTCAATGGCTTTGCGCAGCCACAAAGTGGATCTGTCTTTAAAATGTTTAAAGGGAGAGTTAAGGCTGCATGTGCCGCCTGCAGCAGCAGCAGCTGCTGCTGCTGCGGGCAGCAGCAGCAGCAGCAACAGCAGCAGTTGCTGCTGCAGATACTGCTGCTGCCGGTGGGATCGCTGCACCGACGTACCTGGGCATAAAACGTCATTGCCGCTGCTGCAGCTGCTGGTGCTGCTGCAGCTGCTGCTGCTGCTGCTGCTGCAGCTACTGCCGCGCTAGTTTCAACTGCTGCTGCTGCAGCTAGTAATACATTAGCTGCTGCCGCTCTTGCTGCTGGCTCTGCTGCTGCACGTCTTGCTGCTGCTGGTCCAGCTGCTGCTGCTGCTGCTGCTTGCTGCCTGTGGGAGGCTTCAAGACGACAGTCTTGCCCATTTGAAAGACATTGTAGGCCAAACAGTCGTGCGTGCTGCGCCAGGTGCTGCAGCAGCAGCAGCAGCAGCAGCAGCAGCAGCAGCAGCAAAAGGCACAAAGAAGCAGGTGAAACAGCAGCAGCAAGGCCGTCAGCTTAAGCCGCAACAGATGCAACAGCAGCACAAATAGCACAGCAGCAGCACCACAAGCGCAGCAGCAGCAGCAAAGACCAACCAGCAGCACAAGAGCAGCAGCAGCAGCAACAGCAGCAACACCACCACTACCACCACCCAAGGCGGCAGCAGCAGCACCACCAGCACACAGCAGCAGCAGCACAAACACCCACAGCAGCAGCAGCACCCACAGCAGCAGCAGCACCCACAGCAGCAGCAGCATCCCCAGCAGCAGCAGCACCCACAGCAGCAGCAGCACCCATAGCAGCAGCAGCACCCACAGCAGCAGCAGCAGCAGCACCCACAGCAGCAGCAGCACCCACAGCAGCAGCAGCACCCACAGCAGCAGCACCCACAGCAGCAGCAGCAGCAGCAGCAGCAGCAGCAGCTCACATGTGGGGAATGACCATTTGGAGGTCGACGTAGCTGGCAATACACTCCAAACTGGGGAGTAGATACACCCGAAGAAAAGAGTCGTAAGTGCCAACAGCAACTTTGCTGCCGTCGCGGCTCACCCGCAGACTCGTGGGGGGGTGGCTGCAGCACGCGCACGCAAACCCTAATTTAGGGTTTAGGGTTTAGGGTTTGGGGTTTGCGGGCTGCTGCGGGGAAGGAAGCCAAGCACTCGCAGAAGCAGCGGCTAGGGTTTAGCACTTGAGAGCGCTCCATGGATGCGGCAAAAGAAGCATTCGAAAACTAGGGTTTAGGGTTTAGGGTTTAGGGTTTAGGGTTTGGAAGAGGAGAGGCCTCCTTGGCTGTTGCCCTCCCTTAGAGGTGTTCCGCAGCGCTTGCTGCTGCTGCTGCTGTTGCTGCTGCTGCTGCTGCTAGCCACCACCCAACCGGGGCAGCGGCTACGCACTAGGCTAAACCCTAAACCCTAAACCCTAAACCCTAAACCCTAAACCCTAAACCCTGAACCCTAAACCTTACTCATAGACAATCCGCTTCACGGGTGCTGAAAGCTGCTGCGGATCCCACAGCAGCAGCTGGCTGTCCATTGCGACTCTGCGCAGCAGCACACCACAGCTAGGGTTTAGGGTTTAGGGTTTAGGGTTTAGGGTTTGTAGCACAAAAGAACAGGTTGAACAACAAGCAGCAACAGTACAAATGATAAAAATAAATATAAACACACATAATGAAATATAAATTAAATTAAAATAAAAAGTAAAGGTATAAAAGAGACAAAAAAGAGTAAAAAAAGACTGAAAAATGAGATGAAGGAATTAAAAAAGAATAAAAAGAATTTAAAAAAGAAACAAAAAGACAGGAAAAGGAAACGAGAAAAAAAGGAGAACAAGAAAGATTCAAAAGAGCTGCAGGCAGCGCTGCAGCAGCAGCAGCCAGGTGCTGCGGCTCGCTGCTGCTGCTGCTGCTGCTGCTGCTGCTGCTGCTGCTGCTGCTGCTGCTGCTGCAACGTACGTGAGCAGCAGCTCTTGCTGGTCCTCGGGGCCCCTGTCTCTCCACTCTGCTTTTATAATTGCTTCTCGGTGCCCCCGAAGACACACGGGGGCCCTCGTGGGTTGCTGCAGGTCCCACACCTGCAGCAGCAGCAGCAGCAGCAGCAGCAGCAGCAGCAGCAGCACGGGGCAATTTGGCAGCCGCTAGAGGAGGCAAGCACGAAGAGAGAAGCAAGAAGAAGGACTCGTTAGAAAAGACTAAAATGGACAGTGCTGCCGTTGCTGCTGCTGTTGCTGCTGCTGCTGCTGTTGCCGTTGCTGCTGCTGCTGCTGCTGTTGCTGTTGCTGCTGCTGTTGCTGCTGCTGCTGCTGCTGACCTGGACTACACAGGACGAGTCGACAATGGCGAGGAGCCTTCCCGAAGCGTTCCACCGCAGCGTGGCGACTTCTGCAACAGCTGGCGCTGCTGCTGTTGCTGCTGCTGTTGCTGCTGCTGTTGCTGCTGCTGCGTCTGCTGCTGCGTCTGTTGCCTCCTGCTTCCCCGCTGCAGCAGCAGCAGCAGGGCCGTCAAGGGCGGCCGCCTTATCCGGCGCATCCCCCGCGTCCCCCGCCTCCCTTGCTCCCCCTGCTGCTGCTGCTGCTGCTGCTGCTGCTGCTGCTGCTGCTGCTGCTGCTGTTCTGGGCACTTTTATTTCTGTGCCTCTGTCAACATCCCGCACCAAAACGGCGCCGTCTACAGAGCCAGAAGCCAAAAGGCTGTCGCCGCTCCAGTCCAGGTCAATTACGCCGCCTAGCAGCAGCAGCAGCAGCAGCAGCAGCAGCAGCAGCAGCAGGATGAAGTGCAGCAGCAGCAGCAGCCGAAGCGAGAGGTGCAGAAGCAGCGGCAGCAACGGCAGATGCAGCAGAAGCGGACGGCGCTGCAGCTACGACTGCAGCAGCGAGAACTCCAGCAGATGCAGCAGCGTGAGGTGCAGCAGCAGCAGGAAAAGACGTAGCAGCAAGAGGCAGCAGCAGCAGGAAAAGAAGTAGCAGCAAGAGGCAGCAGCAGCAGGAAAAGACGTAGCAGCAAGAGGCAGCAGCAGCAGGAAAAGACGTAGCAGCAACAGAGGCAGCAGCAGCAGGAAAAGACGTAGCAGCAACAAAGGCAGCAGCAGCAAATGCAGCAAAGGCACCAGGCGCAGCAGCAGCTGCGTGTGCAGCAGCACCATTAGCAGCAGCAGCAGCAGCAGCAGCAGCAACGCACGCACAGACACATGCAACAGCCAAACAGCGACAGCCCCAGCAGCACAACGCAGACGCAGCTACAACAGCAGCAGCAGCAGCAGCAGCAGCAGCAGCAGCAGCAGCAGCAGCAGCACTTACTAGCATGGGAGTAAGAAAGACTCTGTACAAATCGCCAGCCGTGCTGCTCTGCAGCGCCTTGATCGCTTCTGTCGGCGTTTGGACTTGCTGCTGCTGCTGCTGTTGCTGCTGCTGCTGCAGGTTCCTCTGCTGCAGCAGCAGCACCGTCTGCAGCAGCCACCCGCGTGGCTGCTGCTGCTGCCTCTTCGCCCTCCTCCCCCTCAGCAGCTGCCCTTTCCGCGCCCCCCTGCCGCTGCCGCTGCTGCTGCTGCTGCTGCTGCTGCTGCTGCTGCTGCTGCTGCTGCAGGACGTCCCAGACCACGACTTTGCCGTCTGCGCATGCAGCAGCAAGTCTGCTGCCGCTCACCGAAAAGCCCAAACAAATGACAGAAGTGTCACTTGCAAAAAGAGAAGACAGCAGCAAACCTTCGGGGCCCCACAGACACACGGCCCCCGACTCGTAGCCCGTCGCCAGCAGCTGCCCGTCCGGCTGCAGCGCAGCAGCAGCAGCAGCAGCAGCAGCAGCAGCAGCAGCAGCGGCGGGTGGGGCGGCAGGCGCGGCAGCGGGCAGCAGCGCGGGAGCAGGAGTGGCAGCAGCAAACGCGGCGAAACGCGCAGGCGCACCAGCAAAGAATGCCGCAGCAGCAGCAGCAGCAGCGCAAGCAGCAGCAGCACAACGACCAGCAGCAGCAGCAGCAGCAACAGCAGCACACCAACGAGCAGCCTCAGCAGCCACCGCCGCACCTCCACACCCTCACACCGCCACCGCCACAGCCACACCAGCAGCAGTCACACCAGCAGCAGCAGCAACAGCAGCAGCAGCAACAGCAGCAGCAGCAGCAGCAGCAGCAGCAGCAGCAGCACGTACCCTCCAGTGCGCAGAAGAGCCTGGATTGGTGGCCCCAGAAGCAATGGGGGGCCCCGTGAGTTCTTTGAAGGGCCTCAGCTGCTGCCGCCCCTCGAAGGTCAGCGGCAGCCGGTAAAGCCTGGGGGGCCCCACAGCGAAACTGCAGCAGCAGCAGCAGCAGCAGCAGCAGCAGCAATAATGAGCAGCAAAAACAGCAGCAAGCACATGCATTAACAGCCAGCAGCAGCAGCAGCAGCAGCAGCAGCGCATCAGCAGCAAGCCCTCAGCTGCATGCTGCAAAAGCGAATGCAGGCTTAGGCAAAAGCAGCAGCAGCAGCAGCAGCAGTTGCAGCAGCAGCAGCAGCAGCAGGGCTCACTACCCGTTTTTTTCCTCGGGTGGCTTTGTATCCTCCTTTCCTGCATCTGATGGCGGCGGCGAGAGCCTCATCTGCTGCTGCTGCTGCTGCTGCTGCTGCTGTGTCTGTGGCTGCCTCCGCGGGTCCCAGTGCTGCTGCGCAGTTGGCTGCTGCTGCTGCTGCAGCAGCATCTGCTGCTGCTGCTGCTGCTGCCGTTTGCTGCTGCGGGTTCAAGTCCGCGCTGGCGACGCTGCCCCTGCGAGTGAGCCCGCCCTGCTGGTTAACCCCCCCCCCGCCGCCGCCGCTGCTGCTGCTGCTGCTGCTGCTGCT